GGGTTGGCGCGAGGAGGGTGGGCTGCGGTTCCTGGGCGCGTTCCAGAGGGGCGGGGCCGGGGCCGGGGCGGTCCCGGGTACGCGGCCCCGCCCCTCGCTTCCCGCGGGCTGGCGGGGCCGGGCCGGGTCGGGTCGGCCCCCCACACCTCCGCTTTCCCAAGCTAGGCTGCAGCGCCCGGATGGCAGATCCCTCCGCCTGCCGGGAGGGAGGGAGGAAGAGACAGAGTGAGGCAAAGTAGAGAGGCGAGACCCAGAGGCCTTTAAAGGGATCGGCCCGCGCCTGTAGTGCCCCCTCCGAGCACGCGGGACGGCCGCCAGCACTGCTGCCACCGTGCGCTCAAGGAGGTCCTTTCTGGGGAGGCTGTGCGGGCAACAGGCACACTCTTACATATACACACGCTACCTCGGCATCTCCCCTCCTCCCAAACCCCAGGAGAGTTGAAGGTGGGAGTCTAAGTAGATAAATTAAGGGAAGACTAAGTGCTGAAAAGATTCCATCTACTCCACTTAGTGTGTGACAAAGCCCCACTTAAAAGGCCACGTTCTTTTCTTGGGGGGTTACCTAGGGAGCTCAGTTGCTCCCTCTACCTGTGACAGTCCCCCTCCCCTCCTAGGGCCCTGCTCGGCAGACGCTCAGCAATTTAAAGCGACAGCTCAGAGTTCTTGGGTGACCTAATCTCCAGTGCCTGCAGCCCCAGAGCAAACACTGCAGTGGGGGCAATTTAAAGAGGCGGTACCCTAATCCACCCACCTCCCCGGCCACACTGGAAACACCAGAAGCATCTTATTAAAGAAGCAGTAGTAGCTCTTTTAAAAAAAAATAAATAAAAATTAAAAAAAAATTCCTGGTTGCCCCAGGGGGTGGTGAATCTTTGAATGCCCTACAACAGGAGTGTGGGTGCCATGCCTACTGTGCCACCGACCTATCAGCCTTCCTCTTCAGCATCCCTATTACTGCCAAGTCCTGCTTCTTTCTACTTAGAGCTTGAGAAAATTATTGAATCTGGCTTAGATCTCAAAGAACCTGGAAGAACAGAAGGGCAGTCAGTTCTTCACAAACACTGATTTCTATCTGGCTGGGGTCTGATTTACCGGACAAAGACTCAATTCTGGGTTAGTGCTGAAGAGACTAATATATACAGAGAAAGGCAGCATGTCATGGTGGTTAGAAACATCAACTGCAGTCAAGCTTGCTTGTTTCAAATCTTTACTCCACCATTTGTTAACTATGAACACAAGCACATTACTTAACTCTCTCTACCTCATGATCCTCATGGGTAAAATGGAGATGGTGTTAATAGTACTATACCTAACTCATAAATTTGGTGTGAAGATTAAACTAGTTCATATAAGTAGATTGCTTAGTATTATAATGCCTCATGCTGCATTGTAATAACTCGGAACCTTGGACTAAGGGCTGATTTGCATTTAGGCACCTATTAGCCCATGCAAGCCTCAAAGGAGGAAAACTCAATGGAACTGCTCTGCAAATAGGTTGGAGGTTTATCTTATGTGTCCTGAGACAGGAAGCCAATGGGCTCCTATTTCCTTGACCTCAGTTTCCAACCCTTCTATCTGGCTCCTCCTTCAGGAAACCTGACTTACATGCTGTCCCACTTTGTCCTCAAATGTAGCTTCTCAGTTCCCCATTGGATCTGGGAGATGGGATTCCCCCCAACACAAGAAGATGTTAGTTCTCCCTGCCAGGCAGGGCTAGCTTGCCCCAAAAACTTCAGGGTAGGCAGAAGTCTATCTGCCCCTTCCTCAAGGACTTGGAGAAGAACAGAGCCTTGTGCCAGGTTTGAGGCTGTGGCAGTAGCAGGATGGGAAAGTGCCCCCCCTTAAGTGGGGAACCTCCCCTCACTTGTGGCCTCTATTTTTAGTTCTTCCCCAGGCTCTAGCTGGAGAAACCGTTTAGTCATCAGGGTGTTTATTTTCTGGCTGTTTCCGACGTCGGGAAAGCAGAATGTTGAGACTGGAGAGATCCAGGGCTGCTGGAAAAGACTTCTTAGGAACAGGCCTGGGAACTCAGCCTTCAGACCATTGGGTCCCAGATCATAGGAAAAACAAAACAAAACAAAACAAAGTGGGCAGGGAGCAGCCAAGCCCCCAGGAGGTGGGTTCTCAGTCTACCTCCAGTTTTGAGGCTTTTCAAGCCACAGAAACCTCTGGCCTCAGCTCTACTTGAAGTATTCTCTCCAAAAATATAAGCAGCCTCAGAATAAATTATTTCCCAGGGCTGATTCCCAGAACCCCCCTCCCCAGCCTCCTATAGATCAGCGTGGTGAGCCTCCCGCCAACCACAGTTCTAGCCAATCTCAAGCCTGAGGCAGGCTTGCCAGGGCTATGATTGGCTGGCTGGTCCTCCCAGTCTTGGAATGTTGGGTTTTCAACAAAGGAATGAGGAAGGAAGGTGAGTCACCTGGGGAGGGTGTTAAAGGGCCAGGAGCAGGAGCTAAAATGAGACAGTGTCCTAGTGAGATGGAGTGCCCTGGACCCTGAGATGCTGACATGATAATCCACTAGAGAACAGAGTAGGAGAGGCTGACACTATAAGTGGGATAGAATTTAGAATTAGAGAAAACTTAATGGGAAGGAAAAGTAGCAAACATGAGGCCACAATTTCCATGGAGGACTAAGAAAGGGTCTAGGAAGTAATATTGCTGGGACTTAGATCAAAATGAGGGCTTCCTGAAAGTGACTCATTAAAACTTTTTCTTCTGGTCCCTGTACTTCCCATCCCAGAATGCCCTGGGTGGAAAATGTCTGAGTGGGGAGACACCTGGGTCTCATTTTTCCTCCTCCCTCTCTGGCTACCCGTCCATATTTCCTAGAAAAAAGTCATCTAACAGCCTGAAGCTGCTGTAAAATCCCCTAGGAGTCAGACACTTAGATGTCCACCAAAGTCCTAAAAAGTGTGTGTAAGCTTCTCTCTACAGTATCATCTTCATAAGTTTATATGGCAAAAGGACATCAAGAACTCCTTTTATGCACCCTTTCCCAAGCACCCCTAATCCAACTTAATTTGAAAAGGTCTCCTTCATCCTCATCCCGCAAGAGCTGTTTCTCTACCTGCCTGTTGTTCCATAATCCTGGGAAGCCATTACTGCTGGTTCAGCCTCTAGTTTGCCTGGCTGTCTCACCTTCCCCACAGCCATCTGGGCAATCTCCAACCCCCTACCTCCATTCACCTCATCCCTGCCAGGAGGCTGATCGTTCTTCCTCCAGTTTTCGAATGATTCCAGCAAAGTTCCCCCAATCTCTCCCCACATCTGTCATCTTGCTTGTGAGGAGAAGGGCCATGAACAGGTGTAGTAGTTCTGTGTATACATTCTCTGTGGGGCTTTGTGTATGATCCTGTGTCTGCTTTTATAGTGCTTTCTGCTTTGTGTGTCTACCTCCTCAGTACACACCATATTGTATTGACATTTTTGGTTTCCAATTTACTCTTCCTCATCAGATCCTGAGCTTCATGAGGGCAGCGATCTAACTCAATTTTGGGTCTTCAGGGCTCTGGCTTTGCAGAGCCCAGCATGGAACATGCTCAGCAAATGTGTTACATGAATTTTTGTGTGTGTGTGTGTGTGTGTGTGTGTGTGTAGCTGTGTATCTGAGTTAAGATTATAAAAAGTTTGTTGAGCACCTCTATTTGCTTATAGATAACTGTCTAGCCCAGGGATGGGGCTCTAGCCTGGGGCCCAAGTACCACTCTAGGCCAGAGTTGTAGGGAGAAGGCAGACTTGGGCAGAGAGGTGTCCAACGCTGTCCTGGCAGAGCTGTGCCCCAAGCTCAGTGCCAGGGTGCCTAGGGACAGAGCTGGGGCAAAGGGCAGAGGCCCCACCCTTGAGCCGAAAGGGGCAGGGAGGGGGTACCAAAGCCGGGTCCTCGGTCAGTGCATCCCCCCAACGTGAGCTCCCTGCCCACGACTGGGCAGGATGTGGTG